TCTTTTTCTTTTTCTTTTTCTTCTTTCCTTTTTCTTGCGAATGATAGGGGGGGCGACCGCCCCCCCCCTGCCCCCCCTGTGGCGCCGCCCCTGTATTTATATCAAACACTCAGTACCGAATCTTCGCCGCCGTTCTGAGACGGAATTTCCGTTAAAGAGTCTAAAAAGTTAAAGTCCCAAAAGAAAGCTACTCTTCATGAATACAGACAAACAGTTGTACTTGTTTGCTTACTTGTATCACGTCATCCACAGTTCGTCTTTATCATAGCGCTGATTCCCCGGGCGTCGAACCACCAATAGTAGACTGTATGTGACTCTATCGGTATTCACGTTATAGCCGTATGCTGCCATAGTCGTCTGCTAAATGCGCCAATCCTCGCAAAAAGCAAGTGCACGAATGTTATCGCAAGCCCACACTACGGTATGCCACAGTAATATCAGGAGTCTATCAATAGGAGTTTATCTATTGATAGACTCCTGGTAATATCATGGGCTCCTACCGCTACGCTGTCTGATGCATAGGAGAATGCATTGACAGTCAATGAGATCTCCAGCCTCAACAATTACAGAGGTCCATGTAGTAGCTGAATAACTCAGTTATCCTTACTGACTTTGACTTTAACTCGGTGAGGGGAGCGACACATGCGAGCCGCATCGACAGCCGCGACATCCGTTCTCGCTCCCCATCTCATCCATCTCACCCCTCTACCTACCTATTGCTCAAAATTCACTCGTCAACCTAACACTACCAGGCTCTCTACGATAGGGGCTTGGTTGCAGTACACGTGGTTTAATACGACATCAAAGTTTGCAGTCTGTACGTGGTAAAAGATTGTTACTCAGGGCCAACTACGCTAACTTCCCACCATCAGGTTTACAACTAATTATACGTAGTCTACGTACGACTAGTACAGTGTTCTGGCAAACATGCTTCTGGTTTTCGTTGAAGGGTACTTCGCTGACGTCCATGGTTCGACCTCCGTCGCATACTATGTTGGCGGCTCTGTGACGATGATCAGCGGTATAATTCTCCTACCGTTGCCGTATTTTTCTCGGAGTATTTCGACAGACGAGAGAAGGCGACAGGCGGTCTCTTCCGAGTTGAAAGCTTCGGCGGTTGGCCAGAGGTATGGGCTTATATACGGTGTATCGTATTTCACGGCGTATAGAACGCTCTGATGCGTTAGATGCACTCACAAATTTAGAAGATAATGTTATAATAACGATTTTACTGCATAGTAGCTCTCTCCACTTAGACAGGTAATCGCCATTAATAAGGCACGCCTTTCGGCGCATACGACGCAGGGCGGCTTTTGGAGACATGTTCTCAGGAAAAACGCATCCCATAAGTCGGGAAATGAGGTGTGCCTTCATGTACATTCGTACATGACAACAGACATTCCTGTGCAGATATGTCAATATATCACTCACCGTGACCACTTAAATATTTTGATATCACATTTCGTTCTTCTGCGATGATCAGAAGTTTAATTCCCTCTCCTCGTGTGTTTGTCCGACCGTGTGTCCTTACGTCCGCGTGTCCCTGTGCCTGTGCGTCCCCTGTGTCTGTGTGTCCATGTGCCCGTGTGGTCATATGTCTGTGCGTGCCTGCGTCAGTGTGTCCATGTGTCCTTGTGTCTCTGGGTTCGTGTGTCCGGACGCCCCTGTGTCCTTGTGCCTGTGTGTCCCTGTTTACGTGTGTACCCTGTGTCCCTGTGCCTGTGTGCCCCTGTTTACGTGTGTCCCTGTGTCCGTTCGTCCGTTCGTCCGTGCGTGCGTTCATCTGTGCGTGTGTCCGTCGAAAGAACAGTGGCCGTCCATCGTACTTCATTGTTAACAGGTGGGGCAGGCTAGTGGAATGGGGGCAATCGCCGAAAATCACATCGACATTGCCGGAAATCACGACCCAATTAAGATATAATTCTTAAATGCAGTACATTATTCCCGAGTCAGTGTATGAGTTTAGAATGGTCAACATCAAGGGTAGTTATGTTAGTTAGAACGGAAATCTGGCAGTAGTCTTATATCGACAAGTAGCGACCGATATACGCGATGAAATTCACATGCCATCATTCCAGTTATATATTCCTATATATTTCCTTGTTTAATTTAACAGCAAGGCACCATCTAAATTTTTTCGACGGCCGCGTCCTGTCTCCACAACGTAGTGAGGATTTCAATGTCCTCTTCTGCTAACGGCGTTTTCCTGAAAGCAATAACAAGCACCAAGTTGAAACTCTATACGGTCTATACGTTGTTTTCACAGCCGTATAGCTATACCACAGTTGCTGCAGTGTGTATGGTTTGACGCGTATGAATTTCATTCGTCCCAACTGATGTCGCAAAATCCGTTCAACGTGTCGAGAGATATGCCGTAAGGTCGTGCTACGCAAGGCTAGGGAAGATAGCTTTAAGAACTTGTCTTTGGACGTCCTGATATGAAGGATGAAAGATAGGAACTGGAAAACTATATAATATAACATGTGATTATCGGAAAAGTATTTGCCGCATCTGTTCTTCTTTCGCGCAAATCGTTGTTGATTTAATTTCGCTATCGATGAATTTTAACATGCACAACATAATCCATAATCCATTCCGGATAAGATGTTGCACCATCTATAAGAAAAAATGCGCTGTAGCATCAGTTTCGTCCAGGAGTCTATTGTAGACTCGCTGGTTTCGTCCTAGTGATAGCAATTAGCAACACGTGTATCTGCCGCAATCGGTTTGCCTTTTTTGCTTTTCGCGTACTATGAACCGTGGGACATCATTCGCTAACCTAACGCGCAGGGGCGTGTACAGGGGGGGTCCAGGGGGTCCGGACCCCCCCCCCCTGCTCGCGCAGAAAACGCATCTAAGGGGGTCTAATTTAAAAAAATTCCTGGGGGAGGGCCCCCCAGACACCCCTTTCGCGTGCTCGCAAGTTTGGGTTACGGTTAGACCCCCCCCCCCTGGTACAAATCCTGTACACGCCCCTGACGCGCCGATGTAGCTGGCACAAAAAATCAAAACGGAAAGAACAGTACGAAAATCATGCAGCAGCATGGGGAGTAGGCTGGTGATGGGGGACTCCAGTATTACATCGCTGCAAATGCAAGAGTTTGTATTTGAGAGCGCCCCAGCTAAGTACAAAAAGTATAACTATCCCTATCACTAACCTTAACACAAACTATAAAGCGACTCGAGTCGTATATGATAGCATCTAAACACAGATAAATTAATCTATGGTGTATATAACCTTTGGCTTTCAATAACAAACTGAACTGAACTGTTTCTGAACTGAACCCGCGGCGGGTTATCGAGGGATGCTACTGTTGGCGTTCCACTCCTACCCTCACTCACCCTGCAGCCTAGCTAGCAGCTATCTGCTCTCTATATGCCCCCTCCGTGGTCGGAAACCGCGTCCGCTGACGACCTTGGTGGGGCATGCGCGCTCCGTTGCTGGCGGTGCGTGGTTACGGCAGTCACACATCTAGGCCTCGTCGCGGCAGACGATCGATGGGGCCGCTAACGCCGCTAACGCCGTCTCGTGGAGATCTGTTGTGAGTGCATATACACGTACGTGCTGTCGTGTACGGGCAGGTGTGGCGCATATAGAGGTGTGCGTGTTGACGTTGCTGTGTGGCTGATGTGTTTACGTGTGTTTCGGTCGTAGATATATTGATGCGCATGATCATGCAGTAAGGTATGTATAAATGACGTTGATTAGACACTAACACCCTGCTGTGCACGCATGGACCCGCACTTCATTACCGTAACCAAAGAGCTTATAATGATACATGATAATGTATAATTTTAATTTTAATGTATAAGCTTATAATGATATATGATAAAAGAGCTTATAATGCCGTAACTCCAATATATGCCATAACCTCACAGTAATCCTACCTCTACCTATACATAGCCCTTCTCTGCTGCGGAGCGAAGTGCTGCACCATATATAATTAGCGCATATATGCGAAAACACATATCC